TTAAGATGATAAAAAATTAAATATAAACATCTGAGACATAAATGCATGTACAAATAAAAGGGAAAAAAACAATTTAAAAACAGTAAAATGTAAACTATGTGCAAAGAACAAAATTTGTTGGAACCAAGCTAGAAAAATAAACATGACGGTCAATTAAATTATAAAGCATCTCCATTTTTAGATCAATTTATGCATTTGTTTATTTTATTGTTCCAATTAAATATTTCTGCGTGAATTTCTAATTATATCAGTTTCAGTCCATAATTAATGTTTTAGATTCATAAAAGTTRATGTTGGTATTTAACAAACCTGTTTGTGATTTAGAGGAAAACATTAATATTTATTCATTGGTTACAAATATAGACTAAAATTAATCAAATCTATGTACTTTAATACAGTAAACAATAATTTAAAAATCAAAGAAACTCAAGTTTTATTACAAACGTTAACACCAGTTAAACATGACAAAAACTCATTAATAAAAATATTTAGTGGAAATTTATTTCAKTGAAAACAAATCTTTTATCAAAGCAGATTTCAATAATAAAAAATAATCCAAAGTAACTGATATTGAAATTCAGAATTTAGTTGAGAAAAAATGTAAATAAAAATCAATCGTGTCTGATAAACAAAGCTAAATTTTAAAGTTCATCAGTCTTTCATGATGATAAACCTGTCATTACTCCCCCCAAACCTGGTTTAACTTTTAATTATCTCCGTTTAAAAATAAAAGTTAAGAGCAAGACTGAGAGTAAAAAGGTTTAAAATTATAATCTCTAAAATTTAACAAAGGCTTCAACAACATAAACTCTGTGGTTGGAGTTATTTTAAGGAGGCAACAGACGACTTTGGTCTTTTTCAGATCAGATCTATTATTATTATTATTATTGAGAAAGGAGCAGGTTTATACAAGGTTTTCTTCTTCCTGCTCCCTTTTCACTCATGTATCGTACGTGTTAAACGAAAATGTGTTTGTATGTTATGAGAAAAATTGTTGAATTGAGTGAATAAACTTATTGATTGATTGATCTCTGTTCCTGTTCTGACCAAATAAAAATGTTTTTTTCCAGTAGTCGTGTAAAAATCCATTTCAAAATATCTCAACCATCAAGTAAGAAAAAATAAAGCCAGACAAGATCATCTCGCCATTGATCAAATTTATTTCCAGTGTTTCAGGAGTCTGTGCACATCCTTCACAATCAGAGGAACACTGTTCTGATACAAACTGTTGGGCTCATTAAAGCGTTCCCCTCCTACAGCAGAGAAGTACCAAAAACTGTCAACAMCACCCGTTCAGGCCTCACAGCATCGCCATCCCACAATACTGTCCTTAATCCTGCAATYTGATGGAAATGCAAAGTAAAGCAGCTAAAACATGGCATTTTATATGTACAATTAAATTATTATTTTTACAACGACTATTTAAAATTCAAGTTCTGGTAAAATCAAGAGATGAAAAAGGGAGATAAAAGATGTAAAAAACATTAAGACCAGAGAGGAATGCCTGGAGAATGGAAGCTCGGCATTATTTCTTACCATTAGAATGACTGAGTGAGCAATAAAAACGTCATTCACAGTAACATCTTTGTCTAACAAAGACAGTATGGCACCCTTTACATTTCATTGAGAGGCACTTTCTTTTGTGAACAAACATTTCCTGTCAGCTTCTCATTTCAACCCACTGCCAGTGAACCACCAATCAGAGGAGGCGGTTCAACCCTTGTAGCAGAGGAAGAACCATGTTTCCATTTGCATAAGTCCAGTGTCTCCTCGTCACCTTTATACCTTTGGAAAGGCCTCTTTAGACAGCAGAGAGCTTGTAGGCAGTCACACACAGGCTGTACCAAAAAAAACCTGAAACAATTCAAGTACACAGAAAAATAGGAATATGTACATTTCAGAAGGAAAACACAAGCATGTAAAGCTTTTAGTCTGTATTACAGCAAGCATGTCTGTACATTCTTCATTTGGTTACCAACAAACTCACTGACTTTAACACAAAAATAGTTCCTCTGCAATAATAAAATTTCTTTTTCCCCCACTACTTCCTATTATTCTGAGTCAGGCCAGGTTCCTTAAAGCCTCTTAGCGTTAAAACATAGTGTTGACTCCTGGATCGTACTTCAGTGTTTCATGGGCATCAGGTCCTTTTCAGCACAGCAGAGGTTTGTAGGAGGAATCACTCCTCTATTTGTAACAAAAACAATAAAAAAAGATAAAAACGTTTTGTTCCATGCCTTATACACAAGAAAGATCAACAATTCTTGTGTGCAGCAACTCTTTTTTTAAACAACAAACACACTCACACCAGTTACACACTCTAGAAGACTTTTGTAAACATGCTCATTCACCAAAAGTGGTCACATGACAGATTATAGTGACAGACTCCCAAATACAGAGAACACACACACACGCACACACACACGCACGCACGCACGCACACACACATCTCTCACAGGTACTGATAGAAGCGTGAATGCACCACCTGGGAGCTGGTGAGTTTATGTGGATGAGCGGTGGCTGAAAGGCTCAGGTTTTTACTCAGGGAGAATTCTTCGTTTGACGCCTCGGCGGGACGACAGGCGAGGCGRGACGAAGACGACGCCTCGGGGTTTTGGGGGTTCGTGTTGCTCAGCGCCCCCTGCTGTTCCAGGAGGTCCAGGCTAACCTCGGGGTTGCTGGTGCGGTGGCGTTCCCGAGCGATCCAGTCCCCGATGGAGAAATCCTGAGAGCTGCACTTTGGTTTCAGCCGGTCTACAGCGGACAGCTCCGAGCGCGAGCCGGAACCGACCGGCTGCGACCAGTCTCCCAGAACGGACAGCTCCGCGAAGTCTCTCTGCCCGCCCATCGTGTGCCTGCGCCGGATGTTCTTCTTCTTGCTGCGAGCCTCCGGGGTCTGATTCCTCTGGCTGCCCACGCCGAACATGTCGTCCGCGGACATCCTCAGACGTACCTTCAGTCGGTCCGTGATCCTCGGCCTCCACGCCGGCTCCGTTTTATCCAGCTCGGTCCGGGACGATGAGCTGAGGCTTCCGGAGGAGCGACCTTTTGCTGAAGTCGCCCCATGCGACAACCTGTTTGAATCTCTGTCACCGTGCGAACTGTCCAGCGAGGTCTCGCTGTTGGTTTTCAGCTGGGCAGTTTTCTTTCTGGACAGCGTGTCGCACTCGATGAGTCTGTGAGAGGGCAGGGGGCGAGGAGCTTCCTCTCGCGGCTCGGCTTTCCCGACGGTGAACACCGACAGGTCGCTCTCGCTGTCCGTCATCGTCGGCCTTCCCTCGCTGATGAGCTCGCTCCGCTCGTCGTCTGCGTCCTCTCCGCCCCGGCTTTCGGACACGGACTGCACTTCAGGGCTGAGGGTGCTGAGCTCGGCTCCGGTTAGGAAAGTCATGGAGGACGTGGTGGAGTAGTCGGAGGTGATGGAGCAAACCTCCGCTCCCGGCCCGCTGGGACACGCCGTCCTGCCGGGCCGCGCTCTGGGCACCGACGCCTGAGAGCTGGTGCTGTTCATCGTACCGAGGTCGGACACAGCGTCGTCGTAGTGCGGGTCGGACAGGGACGACTGGCGAGCCGCGCGCATGTAGCTGAGGTTTGGAGAGGGGGGAGGCGAGGCGTAGGGGGAGGGGGAGGCAGTCTGAAGGGAGGAGATGTGCTCTGAACACAAAGAGGGGGTGGGCTGACACTCCTTCCAGGTGGATTTCTCCAGCGGCTCCTCTGAGCTCCTCCTCTGCTTCTCCGGTTCACTCGCTCCGTCCGTCTGCTCCTCGTCCTCGGTCCGGCTGTCCTGGGACCACAGAGGCTGCTGCCAGTCCTCCTCTGGGAGCTCCGTTTTGGAGAAAACCTGGTCCAGGTCATCATCTGAACTGTGGTGTTGAAGCTTAGGCTTAGACTTAAGCTTCTTCCGTTTGCGGCTGGCGAAGAAGGAAGAGCGCAGCATTTCTTTGCTACACTGATCCTTCCCTGACGGCTCCAAGACCTGACGAACCAGAACCAGAACTGTGTTAGACTCATCCGAGAAAAGCCACAAGAATTACATTTACAAGACAAAATGTGACCCACCCATCACATCGAAACCAGGATTAAGTCCAAAAGTTGTATGTGGAGAAACAGGTTTTGATTTAAATGTGTGCAAAAATTGCATTTTGTCAAAATATAATGAATTAATGTTTTATCAATRCAACTTTTGAATGAACTGTCTGAAATATTATTCTGAAAATGTTTGAAGCATTTTTTGAGCAGCAGCAACAAAAAAACTGATTTTGAGGAAAAACGCAGAGATTTTCCCTGTGAGTTAGCAATGTTTTTGTTTCTTTCCAACTGGGAAATCTTGTTTCCTCTTTATAATGACATAAGAAATACTCAATTACATTACATAAAATTAGGATTCAGACCAAACAGTAATGTATTATCATAACCAACAAGACAAATTAAGTCATATCTCTGGATAAGCTGATGATACCAGAATAATCCAGGTATCAAAATGTAGCTTTTAAAGCCACAAATCTGAAAATGTAATTAGGTCATTTTGTCCAAATTTGACTTAATCCTCATTTCAATATGATGGGTCACAAATGTTTAAGAAAACTCACCTTTGGTTTGCTAGGGTCACTACATGCTGAGTCTGTGTTTAAAAAGAAAATAAACAAATGTCAGACATCTCATTGATGAGGAGGCAGACTTAAGAGATTAAGAGCAACAGATACGATGAAGGTGAGCGCAGCGAGACAAAAGCCGATGACACGCTTCTGATCGAAGACAGAGGCAGGAAGATAGGTAATCACACTAAGCAGTGTATGCAGAAGTGGAGAAAACGGCAGAAGGCGCCTGAGATGAAGGATGGAAGGAGAGAAGGTGAAAACCCAGCAGTAAACCCAAGACACAGAAAGCAGCTCATGCTCATGGTTCAATGGAACGACGGCATATCCAGGACAAAGACGGCAGTCACAGAGCATCACATGGAGCCAACAACAAGCTGAAGGCATTCTTTCCCAACTCAAAGACGTCACAGAGGAGACGGAGTGATGAGTTCGCTCTGACGGACAGATTTAAGCGGCCTGAGTGTAACAGATCAGTGAGGRTGTGTGGTCGATACGGCTGAGCTGTTTGATGCAGGAGAGCTTTACTGGAACAAAAACATCACGCTGACTTCTTTTAACATAAAATCTGTTACCAGAAACATCGTAAACTACGTGTAACTTCCAATTGTGAAAATATCCAAACTGTGCAAACAAACTAAGAAAAGCTCGCTACTTGTAGGAGCTTTAGATGGGGGGAAAGCTATATATATTTCTGTTACTATGTCTAAATGGTAATAAATAGTGTAAAAAGTTCTGATAATTAAGTTAAAATACTGAAGACATTTGTTTGTTCCTCAGTTTAAATAAAACTAATCACCAAAGTCCTGAAAAAGTTGAACACAAGAAAAAATAAAAAAAACAAAATGGCAAAAAATAAAAAATCATCTTCTGCTGATAGTGTATTTACTTTCTACATGTTATGCATTAAAATAACATATGTAAAATAAAAATGCTTTGCTAAAAAATGAAAACCCAACCTCAACATTGTTACTAGTGGGATGAAGTCTCAGAGTATGAATAAGGTTGTAATTACATAGTAACAAKGTGGAGTTATAAGTGACATTCAAATCTGCCTTAGAAAACCATGACCAGCTGAGCTGCAGGTAGGTCCTGAAACGACTGACAGGCTTCAGTTCCTGCTGTAGTTTGTTGTTTAAATGTTGATGTTTATACAAAGAGAATCATTACTTACAGAAACTGAGAGTTACTTATGAAGTAATGTAACAAAGGAAGATGAATAAGTGTGTTTATCTGTAGTTGATGATGTAACGCTGTAAAGTGTAAAGAAAAAGATATCAAAATAATCACACCACAGACAAACAAAATAAAAGACACAAAAGGCGACACTTGAAGCCTAAAATATTAAATAAACCAAAGAAATTAATTGACATGTTGCAACACATCTGCCTCCATGCTTAAAGYCGTGTTGAGTGTTGGCTGAAAGTCGGCTCACCTCCGCCACTGTAACTCACTAAAGTCTTACTGGACTGGAATTTGGTTGTATGAGTGGATTGTTGTGTGTGTCAACGCGTGTGTGTGCTGGAGAACATCCAGCTCAGTGCGAACACTGCGACCCCGCCCTCAGACATCATGACAGATTATGCCACATGACCGGAAGAGAACCTGAGGTTGACCGTACCATGCTACTTGTCCTTGCGATCAGCTTAAAAGACAACAAGAGACAGCAGAAGGGCTTTCAGACAAAAGTGCAGCAGCATGGCTCTGTATCCCCTCAATTTAGGGTACTGGTTTAAATATGACATGTGCACAGCACAGGAACAATGACAAACATCGACTTCTCTTTCTTTCTGTATCTTTTTTCCTCCTTTTCGACCAAATTTAAAAGAGCTGCGGGTTTCTGCAGACTAGGCAGCTACACTGGGCACAACACTCGTCCTTCTTCCTACAGTCCCAGCTGTCCATCACTGACAAAACAGAGTCCATCAGTGACATCATCGAGTAATAGACGCCGCCCACTTGGCCTGTGTCAAGATTGGGTAACGTGTGAGTGCTGGACAGGGATAAGGGAGGAGAGAACAACACACTACACACAGCAGGTCAGAAGGGTTAAAACGTCCATCGTTTCCTTTTGTTTTTGTAAGGTTTTCTTTGGGAAAGAACATGCCGGGATTATGTGAGAAATGAGGAGGAGGGGAAGAAAAAGAACTGAAAGAAAAGGAGTCGTCATCTCAACATAGATAAAGCACAGGGAGAAAATAAATAAATAAATGACCTGAGCAAGAGAAATAAAGAGAAAAGCATAAAAAAGAACAGAAATAACAAAAAAAAAAGCCTAACAAATTAACTGGTGACAAAACAAAAACAAGCTTATCTAAAAAAAATAAGTAAAAATAAATAAATAAAATGCTTGACCTAATGCAAGGTCATTTTCAACAATTTTTCAGTGATTAACCTTCAATACTGAAGACACTGAAATATTACTGAAAAAGTTAGCGGGAACAGAATTACAAAAAYAAAGCTGGTGTTCTTGTTCTCACTGAAAGTTTGTAAAACTGAAATGAACGATGCTTAATATTTTAGCATTAGCAGCTGAAGGTATCATTGTATGCATAAATAAGACTTTACCATAAATGTCTATTTTATTTATTATAGTACTGCAGCAGTGACAAGATGTGAGGATACTTAAATGCAGAAGAATAAATAAATAAAATCAGCTTCTTAAATTACCTGAGACTTCACCWGGTGAGGGTGCAGTTCGCCCAATGTTAGTGAGCAGGTGGTCGATGTTGGGCACAGGCTGAGACTGAACTGTGTTTTCCTGCTCAGCTGTGGTCTGGGACGACAGGTTAAAAAAAGGGCAGAAAGAAGATTAGCAAGTGAATAAAATGGCAGGGAAAAACACAACAACGTTACAAGGTTTTCTATAAATCAACCACTGCTCAAGCAGAAGCGCTGAAACAAAAAGAATCCAAGGTACGATTTATGAAACCAAACCATCACTTACAACAGGATCCTCAGTGCCGTCTTCAGTAAAGAACCAGTCAAACTGCTGGATGAGGTTCTCCACTATCTTGCACTGGTCTGGCATGTGATTGACCATGTTGGTCATGTTGTCCTCAGAAGTTCTGACCAGCGTCGGACCAAACACAATCGCCAGGTTACGCGGCTCCATCTACACAGATCAGGCAGACCTTGAGCCAAATAACGGGACAAAATCATTTTTAGAACTGTTTTAACACTGACGGATCATATACCTTGTTCTTTTCACAGTTTTCAGAAACCCTCTTCAGGTGAGCACAGAGAAATTTCAGCGTTTCAAAGTGATGAACAGGTAATTCACAGATCTGTAAAAATTGACAAAAAGGGGAAAAAAAAGTCTCAGGATGGACTTCGTTCTTTCTGGCTTGTTTAAATGTTCGTCCCGACAGACTCACCAGCCTCTTCAGCTCCTTTAATCTCTCCACTGAGTCTTCGGTTCTGCTGGCTTCAATGAAGTCAGCGTACTTTTCTGAAAAAAGGAAACCCATCACTTCACATCGCCCTAACACCACTGTGAATTTCTGTATGTAATCTTACCGTTTGTAAACAGAGGTTCTGGAAGTTTTCGGAAAAATGACTTTAATAAACTACTGATGACGTTGAGATCCCGCCATTTCTGCAGAATTGTAGGAAATCAATACAGAGTCACGTTAAAACTGTGCTTACAGAACAAGTCAGTCACTGCTGGAGGATGCTCTGGCAGGAGTCGCCGGCTGTGCACCGTCACTCACGTCTTCCTGGATGTCGATGTCAGTCATGCCTTTGCTGTTGAGTTCCTCCTGCATGCTGGAGATGGCAGCATTGTTGCCAGGAACCCTGTAGATCCCGGTGTACTCCAGTCCTCGCTCCTCCACAACCTTACAGCACACCTCCACTATGAGAGGGACGAACTGCAGCAGGAAGACGGTGGATAAAACAGAAAACYGTGTCAGCAAACATGGATGCAGTGAGAATGAACTGGTGACCCACAGAGGCGTTTGTGATTATCTTGTTGTATTTTAGCATCATCAGGCAGAGCAGACCCACCGRGTTTGTTTGAGCGGCTGGACAGTCTTCCAGCCGAACACCAAACGTGATGCCAGCTGGGGTCTTCTTTTCGAAGGGCTTTCTCATGATCCCCGCAATGCCGATTTTCCAAGACCTGTCCCTRTCCCGAGGAGGACTGGACTCGTCTGAGAGGACACACACAAATGAGCCATCTGAGACTGCACACCTGCTAACCACACTAAATGACCCAGGTCACCCACTGCAGAACAGAGCCCTACCTTTCAACGCCCTCCGCTCCTCTCCAGTTTTAGGCGAATGGGGGCTGTAGAGCTTGCTGTCCGATTTACCCCCCAGAATCGCCTGTTTGATGCTGAGCGACTGCCGAGCTGTTTTGGGGGAGGGTTCTGATCTGCTGCTGGGAGCGCTGATAAAAACACAACAGTTTGAACAGATTTAAATTCACTTGTTTGAGTTTTGTGAAGTAACGTTAACAAGTTTACTGAGAGTGAGATCCTGCACACCTCATCATGTTGTACTCTTTGATTTTTCGACTGATCAAGTCCTGGCTTGTTACGGCACCGTTCTGCAATGACAGAAGAAACACAAGTTAGGACATTCAGTAAAATACAAATGTGCTGTAAATTTAAAAAGTTGGGTTTTGCTTTAGATGACTGGTATATTCTTAAATAATAATTCTGCTAAAAAGAACCATTTTTAAACAGCCCTCGGTTCATTTTGAAAACTCTTTCAAACCCTGAATGTGTTTTTGTTCTGCCCAACAGGTTTTAAATTACTTATTTTATCCATTATCTATTTTATTATTACAGTCATCGCAAAACACTCATTTTAAGATGTTTAAAGATTCGTTGTCATTCCACAGGGCACGACCAAGCTCTTTCAAAGTTGTATTAGGTTTTAACATGCTTGTTTTTCCTGCACTATTTAAAGAGGACCTATTATGCAAAATTCACTTTTTAAAAGGTATTTGTACTCAACTTTGGGTATGTAYTTCTTAAAAAAACAGTCCTAGGACCAAAAAAATGCTCCCAGGGGCATATTTATTGTAAGTAAATGTATTTTTAATGTGTATTAACGACAAGTTTTATACTTCCGTCATTTTGTGACGTCACAAGCTGTACGACAACCCACCGGAACCTGCGTTCAGCCCCTTACCTAGCAACCACCGGGTGAAGCTCCACCTTCTCAGTATAAAAAGCCATCATGGTTGTTGTGCAATGTGCAGCTCATTTCACAACAAGCCTCCAATAGGGCAATGGGTAGAGTGTTGGACCAGAGAGTGGGAGACCAGAGTTTGAGACCGGCACGGACACAATTTAATTATTTATTTATTTTTGTTCATTATGAACACGTTTTCTCATGTACCTCTATTGTTTAGCTTATTAAAGCCTTGTTAAAGCCTATTTGTTTGAGTTTCTGAGGTATTTTCACCGCTGCTGCTCCCTGCTCTGGTAACAGCATGCAGAGTGAGGGAGAAAAAAGAAGAAGCTGCGACCACGACTCTGCCTCTGGGTCTCATATGGTTGTACAACGGAGCTTCTGCTATTATTAGCCAAGCTAACGTAAACGCTGGCTTTGGAGGGCGGAGTTAATGTCAACAGATTTTTGGAGGGCGTTACCAACAGAGCTCATTAACATAAACAGCTCTTCTGAACGGAAGTCAGAGCAGGCAGAACTAGAAAATGGGAAATTTTATTATCTGAGAATTATTTTGTGCATTAAATTGAATGAACATGGTCTGGATAGCCCTCAGACATACCATAAAAATTTCTAGGACCCATAATTGGTCTCCTTTAACCTTTAGTGCTACTTTTTGCATTGATGATAGGAAGCAATGATGGCGGACGTTGTACTACACACACCTCTTCATCGGGATTACTGTTTTCCTGAATGACTTTGATCCATGAAAGCATGTCGTCCCGCCCTTCAGCCTGGAACAAGTAGTCGCAGTCTGAGGTGGATAATCGCAGCACGTTCTTGCGTCGTGTTTCGCTGTAGGAGATGTCAATCAGGCAGGCCTTGATGCTGATTTGAAGCGGGTCCTCGTCAGGTTGTGCTGAAGCGTGAGAGAGCGCTTCCTTCTTGTCTTTGTACAGGGTCAGGGTGTGACCTTGCAAAACAGCGTACATTTGCTTCCAGGATCTCATGCCTCCACCAACGCGCTACAGAATTAAAGAATTGTTGCTCACACTTCACTTCATCATAAATGTGATAGTTAAATGAAGGTTTTAGCAGTGAAAAAATACCTTGTTTTTATCTGTAGTAAACTGTCTGAAATTAAGCAGCCCTTCTTTGGAAGAGTCAGGAAAAACATCTGAAGAGGGGTCCTCTCGAGATGCAGAATCCCCTGATGATTTATGCCCATCCAGAGCCTGGAGGAATGAATAAGACATTTTTTGTGGGGGGGTGGTGTTAAAAGATGACTGCGGAGCATGACATAAAACATGGGGGGAGTGTGTGTGAGGAGAGGATGACATGCAACAAAGATCTGCAGATGGAAACAGACTGGGGATGTCACAGTTACATGAGCACGACATCCCAAATCTGAAAAATACACTTCCCACATGAATAAAAAGAGTGCACCAAAGCCTGCGTGTCAAAGTAAAAAATAAATAAAATAAAAAAACTCAAGGAGAAATAGGATTATTTTTGCTAAAAAAATTCAGAAAGTTGTTTCTATTGCTAAGAATCAGGTACTTTATTTACATGTAGAAGTGTAACCTGGACAGTGGAGCTGTAATAGGATACAGGGCTCAGCGGTGTATAATTTTAAATTTATATTGAGTTTTTCAAACAAGGCTTTAAATTAGACACGACTGTAACAGTCTGACACTATCTGAATCAGTGCCAGTGTGCATTACTCTTCATTTACTGTCCAACCYCACCCCTGCTTTTAGCGATGTGGTTTTCAGCAGCCAGCTTTTATTGGAGTGTCTCTTCAGAAAAGCGATCAGCATTTATTAATGTGTTAAACAAACAACTGTTTCTGAACAGCTCTGCATGCTTAAAGGACCCCACCCCCCCATCCGATCAGAGATTACTTATTTATTTAAATTTAGGGGTTTGTAAATTAAATATTTAGCTCAACCAAATTTTTTGAACAATCTATATCCTGTATGCTGCTATTTGAGCTCTTTAGATCTAAAATCTGTAGTTGTCAAGGTTTGGCAAAAATTACAACCAGCCTAGAAAACGATGATGACTCTGCTTGTATATAAAAATAAAGAAAGACAATGAGTAAAGAGGAAAACAGATGCTACCAGACACTGATTGACAACAATAATAAACAGCGTTTCCCAGTACCACCATCATTATTTAAACAATTGTTGTAGAAAGAACTGATGTGAGACGTGTTGTTATTTTGTCTGAAAACACATTAATATTTCAAGCTGTAATCCCC